TGCCATAGATAACATCTATCTCCTGTTGCTCATTTCAGTTCACCCTAAGAGGAGATGAGCAATCAATAGCAAATACAGCCCCACCCATGTGGCTCAGTTGGTTGAGTGTCATCCTTGCACCAGGAAGTTGTGGTTAGATTCCCAGTTGCAGGCTCCATCCCCAGTAGGGGGAGTGCAGGAGGCAGCTGAGCAATGTTTCTCATCAATGCTTCTATCTTTCTCTCCCTCTCCCCTCCTCTCTCTGAAATCAAAAACATATTAAACAAACAAAAATAGCAAATACATATCTAAAAATGTATTCAGAGAAATTTGCCAAACCACTGAAGCAAACAGCACCTGACAGAAAAGAAGATTCATCTAATGTAAATACTAGCATTCTTACAAAGCACAATGTTCATAGGTATCTAGTATCACCCAAGCAAAATGGCTTCTCGAAATTTAGCTCATTAGTAGCAAAGTTCATTAAACTCCTTATTTTCTCCCACTAAGCTCTGTTAATTATCCAATTTTGTATTTTCACTATGAGTATATTTTATTTTACACTCCACATTCATTCATCGGCTAACATCTCCAACACGCTCACTGTGTGCCCGGTACTACATTCTATTTCTCTTATTCACAATAATGGGAATCAAGGAAAAGATACTTAGTTCACTGAAAGAAAAAGAAAGCCCTGCAATCTCCCACACAATGAAATAAAAATGCAAACTTCCTCACCAGAATTTGAAAGTGCAGTACTGCTCCTCACTTTTCTTAAAGTTACATATGCAAAAGTGCAACTCTCTGGGGCCTTCAAATAGTCCACTTAATTGCATTCAAGATGACAGCATTAACACTAAAATGTTCAATATATACATAAAATAATAACTAATAATGCTACTTTTTAAAGTATTATAGTAGTAATAGCTAACATTTAATCAATATTGAGAGCAAGCATGTAGTATGTACAGAACTGTTATACTACATAAAGTAATGTAGCATATGTTACATTATGGTAACATATAGTAACAAGTATTACATATAGTAAAAATATACTTCCTGCTGAGACTATATACCAGACAGAAATCTAAGTGTTTGATGGCCATTATCTCATTTAATCCTCACACCATCCCTATGGGATTGACATTATTATAAATATTAAAAATATTACATTTTACAGATAAAACTGAAGCTTGGAAGTATTAAGCACCTTATTCAAGGTCACTTAACTACAGAGGGTTGGGACTCAAATTCAGGTATATCAGGATCCAAAGACTATGCTCTTGACTGCCATATAATAATGCTTGGCTTACATTCATTCAATTTTAATTTTAAAGCTCTTGGCAAGTCTAAACAGGAGGGTTACTTTTTAGGACAAACTTCTTCCTTTAAAATGAACTACATTTACCTTATTACATACAAAAATCAACTTTAAAGATTTTACTTAAAACTGTCATCCTACAAGTTTAAATATTTGGATAGGAAACAAAATCTGAATGAAAGCCTTGAATCTCTATGGTAATGGGTCACAGCTGGAAGAGACCTTGAGGGTCATCTAGTCCAAATTCTTCATTTTAGGAATGAAACAGAGACCTTTTGAAAAACATCTATATTCAATTTAAACTACCACATACCCAATCCAGAAACATGTAGGTTTGGGTGGTTTTTTTTAAGTCAACATTTTAAATAGATACTCTAACATTTCAACATCATAAAGACCATGATATCCATTTCTGAAGCACTGTAAGAAAATACAAACTCACAGACTCCTCCACCTCTGGAGTCACTGCCACTGCCTTGCTTCTCTAACAGGTCTGAGATCTGAACACACAGCCAACCGCATCAGAGAAGATGAGGAAATCAAGAGTCCAGAGAATTAAATAACTTGCCCATGATCACACCACTAAAGAATAAAGGGACACGGACAACAGGGGGGTGAGGGCATGAGTGGGGGGATAGGGGGTAACATGGGGATAAGGACACATATGTAATAACTTAATCAATAAAAAAACTAAAAAATTTTTTAAAAAAAGAATAAAGGGACTGGGATCTAACCATCTAACCCCAAAGGAGCCTGTGTGGTACAGAGCATACACCATCAGCCGCCATTGAGTGTATCAAATGAAATAAGGCTGACAAAGTTCTAGTAGAGTTCCAATCACATGTGCATTGTACGTATCAATGTTTGCTTTAACAGAAGAGGGTCCTGTTCAAGCTGAGAAATACACTCCACTGCAGAGCTCTGGAGGAATATGAGAAAGGAATCTGCTGTCAGAACAGACAGTGCAGTAGATCACCCTCACATCTACAAACATTCTCTATTTCTTTTCACCAGGGAGTTCAGTTTCACCCTTCCACATCTGATTGTTTTTCAGAACCAATCCCTTCCAGCAAGAGACAACTTGCTTAAGTTAGTTCTCACAACCCTAGTATCACTGAGCACAAAGTAAATGCTTCTGGAACTCTAAACAAAAACATCTCAAGAATGACAGTTTTGAAAAGTCTGATAAATATATTCTAATTTTTTAATTAAAATTAAAAAAAAAAAAGAAAATACAAACTCCATGACATGAGGTCACTCTAATATAGGGCTATTACCAATTGAAAGTTTGAATCTTACTAAGTTATAGAAAGGTATTTTTTTTAAAGCATCCTTACCTATGTGGATTCAAACTCAAGTAATAGTCATTTCTTCATTAATTAAATTTACATTCCTTTGGGTCAACTACAAACGCAGCTTCACTTTACCAGTCTTGTCATGTGACTGAACTTAAGCTCGTTTCAAGAAAAAGGCTGCACTATGCCGTATTTAGAACACATACCACTGAGAACAGCCAGATGAGTCTGAAAGCCTATCCAAAAACCTTGCTTTAGTTGCTAAGAAACTACAATTCTGCTATATTATCAGTCATTGAAAGATGCTATGCTAGCAGAGATTAAAGATGTTAATGTTAAGATTAAGAATATTTCATCTATGGTGCCAAATGAAACCATGCTATTTCCACAAATCAAATAGCTAAAATTAGTATTGGGCTTCTTTAAGTCATATTGTTAACACACAACTAAAAACTAGTAAGACAAATCAGTCTAACTCTATGCTGCCTTCCACAGTGACCTCATCTTTGGGGAAAAACAGGAAAAATACCCAATATACTTAACACATTCAATGCTATAGACAGAAAATGTTTCCTTCCTGATCCCTGCAGTGATAATTCAAGGCCATCAAGCATACATAGGATTTGAATGGTACAATTTGGTACAACAAACACTTATAATTAATCCATGATGTTTTTTCAATCCTTTATTAGACAAATTTTCACTGTAATCTTAAGCATTTTAAGACTGCATTCTCCTTAGAATGATTAACTCCATTGGCTCTATCACTGTTTTGTTTTTTTTAATGAAAGTCATTTAAATTTCAGCTACTCCAACAAGAGTAATCTAGCCTAACAACAAAGAAGCACTGAAGGATTAGCAAAAATAATGTATAGTTCACTCTCCACTACTGACTTCTCATAAATTCTTTCCTATAAAAATATTTTTAAATCTCTTAAAGGTTGTTTCCACAAGAGCAGAAACCTGTTCACAATGCCTCTGAAATACCAATTCAGCAGCTGAATTGTCACACACACCTTCAACCATCAGAATCTTTTCTGTCCAGAATAGATCCCATATCACCATGATTCCCCATTTCTCCATATTCTCTAAAGAACTTCAGCTTAAAACCAATTCTCTCGTTTGCACTATACTCTACAGTACACACATCCCAAGTAATACTTTTATGTTCTCGGAAATAATCTTTCTTCTGTCTTGAAACTTTTAGATATTAAAACCCACGTCTTCCATCTCCTTCTCTCCAGTAACTGTCCTCAATCCCACTGCAGTCCCAGCTATGTGCCCCTGCCTTCCCAAGGCCCACTCACTACCATAAGCGCTGCCACACTCAGCTGCTCCCTTCCTTAATATATCCCCCACACTGCAAACCAGCAGTACACCGCCGGCTTCCTGCATCTGACTCCCTCCCCTTATTTTCTGTCTTCACCCACCTCCACGTCTATACCCAGGCACCCTCATTTCCCTAATAAATATTCCCCCTAACTCAGTTACAACGCTTCTTCCCCATCCTTTGCTCATTTTTCCTCTCCTTATTTAGAAACTCCTTTTTGCTCTCCCAACCACTATCCTAGAATGCCCAACGCTCAACCCTCCCCAGCAAACCCAACCTTCTTGCCCATCTCCTTTAGAGCCACGCAGCGCTTTCCAGATCCCCTACTGCAGTCAACCCACCCCCTCAGCTTTCCACCCACCTTCCCTCCACCTCCACATCCACGGCTCCCTGATTTTTCATCCCCTCCTTAGGGCTCTAGCATTCTGCTCAGTTTTCTCCTGGACGCCCTTTCCCCCAACGCCTCCCTTATTTTTCAAACATGTCACCTGTCTTACGGGGCCCAGCAGAATCCTACGAGCCACTACGCCCCAGACCCCCACTCGCCCTCTCCTCCTTAAACACAAATGCCGCCTTTATTTAAAAAAAAAAAAATTTTTTTTATTTTAGAGAGACGAAGGGAGAGGGAGAGAAAGAGAGAAACATCGGGTCCCAGGACCGAACCCACAACCTGGGATGCGCCCTGACAGGGAATCCAACAGGCAACCTTTTGATGCACAGGCCAGCGCTCAACCAACTGAGCGACACGGCCCGGGCTCCCGTCCGCCTTCATTGAAAGCTGCGTCCCCTCCTCGTCCGCCCCCGCTACTCCAGCTCCCCACGTCGGCTTCCTGGGTGTTCCCTCCCCGCCTCGGAGCGACGAGCCCCACGACGTGGCGCCTCTAAGCCAGCAGTATCCTCGGGCTCCGATCGACGCCCCCAAGTCTCGGACAGGCTCCCGTTCTCACTCCCGCGCCTCCAACTCCCGACCGCCTCTTCTCCCCGCGGTTCCGCAGCCCCTCAGACGCTCCCACCCGCTCCTTCCCCGTGGCTCCGGCACCACCTCAGGCCTGGCCGCCCCCGGCGCCCCGCTTACCGTTCTGAGCGGCGCCTGGCCCCGGGAGGAGGGAGCCAGAGACCAGCAGCAGCGAGATGACTAGAGCGCTGGGGAGCGTCGAGCCCGACATCCTCACTGCAGAAGACCCAAGAGCAAAAAGGCCGGGGCCGGAGCCCGGGCCGGGGCCGGGGAAGGGAGGGGAGGGAGGGAGGGGGCGGGCGACTGAGCGAGGGAGTGAGCGAGGGAAGTAGCGGCGGCTCCGCTCCGTCCTTCGCCGTCCTGCTCCTACCGCCGCAGCGCCCAAGCCTCGCGAGACCTTCGCTCCGGGTCGTGGGTGGCTGAGGAGTGATAGCAGCAAGACTCGCGAGAAGAGGCGGCCTGAACTAGTGTTCCCTCCCCTCGGACTTGCTCGCTTGCCCCTACTGGGGCTGATTGGCCAAGCTCGATGTAGGTCACGTGCCAAGGCGCTGCTGGCCACGTGATGGAGCGAGGCGGGGTTCCTCCAGCTCTTTTGGCGGGTTAGGGCGGGGGCAGAGAAGTCGGCGTTTATCCCTGGGTGAAATGCGAGCGCCCGTAAATCAGAGGAAGCTTTAGGAGCCTACTGTGCTTTCTCCACCCATCCTGTCTTTCAGTTGTTGGAGCTCTTAGCTGCGGTATTTGATGCACCACTGTTTCTTTTACGCCCTTTTACATTGTCCCCATGGAAGTCCTGCGGTTAGTTCCTTCTGGACTTTGATCCTACACCCCCCCACCCCCACCCACCCCGCCCTTCTGGCATCTAGCTCCAACCTCCCTCTTAAGCCTACTGTTTTAACCTTCTTGGAGAGGTGATACACTCCCCGTGCTCGGTGGTACTTTGAGCTTTCCTACCTGTACACCTGCTCCCTCTGCCTGAAATGTCCTCCTTTCCTCGCCCTTCTATTTTCCCCTCCCCCATTTTGGCCTTGTTTTAGCTTCATAAAAATCTCAGGGCCTAAAATTTAGCGTAATTGCTAGACACTAAGTTCTACAAGGAATCTTCAGGAGCAGCGAACATTTATGAGTATCTGTTGCGTACCAGGTTCTCACACCTGCTGTGAAACCCAAATGAAAACATGGCACACACTCTTATGAAGTTCACAACCTAGTCTATCATAGGGTCTAGGAAGTGGGTGAATAACCTAAAAAAACAACCCATAGGAGAGGAGCCAGCAAAATGCTCTGGCAAAGTTATCACTACCATTTTCATGGAACTTTGGGAAATGCTTTCTTTCTTTCTTTCTTTCTTTCTTTCTTTCTTTATTTATTTATTTATTTCAGAGAGGAAGGGAGAGGGAGAGATAGAAACATCAACGATGAGTGAGAATCATTGATTGGCTGCCCCCTGCATGCCCCCTACTGGGGATGAGCCCCCAACCTTGGCATGAGCCCCCAACCTTGGCATGTGCCCTGACCAGGAATCCAACTGTGAACCAGGAAGTGACCTCCTGATTCATAGGTCCATGCTCAACCACTGAGCCATCCCAGTGGGGCAGGAATTGCTCTTTTTAAGGGTATATTTTTGTCCTACCTTCAGCGCTGTCATTCCTTGGTTGGCAAAGGAATCTCTGTGGCTTAGCTTATGCCTGACTCAAATCAGACATCCTGAGGAGGATCTGTGGAGTGAAACTGAGAGAAACCAAGTTAACAGCCCTGATGACCCGAGAGCTCAGAGTATCTAGAGCAGTGGTTCTCAACCTTCCTAATGCCACCACCCTTTAATACAGTTCCTCATGTTGTGGTGACCCCCAAGTTCATTGTTACAAATTGAACATAATTAAAGCATACTGATTAATCACAAAAACAATATGTAATTATATATGTGTTTTCCAATGGTCTTAGGCTACCCCTGTGAAAGGGTCGTTCGACCCCAAAGAGGTCTCGACCCACAGGTTGAGAACCACTGAAATAGAGGAAGGAGTACTCATATGCGCAACCACCAGCTCACATGCTCAAGCCAACGTAGTAAAAAACTTTCAACATGAACTTGGACAGCTGGTGGTACCAGACTGAGCTTTCTACCCAGCACTGGGACTACAACAATGGCATGTTGTTGATTGAAATGTATACTATATCCTTCACGACCTCAGGTGTGTGAGTGACAAAAACATTCACATGGAAAAAGATTGGACAAAGACCATTCTGAAGACAGTTCTGTATGAAGGGCTCCAGAGCCACCTGTTATGGGACACCAAGATTTTCAGCAGATGGGAATTTTGGGTAGGGTGCAACCATTCTGCTTCATAACCGTAACTAACATCCCTATTTAAATATTACAACAAGGGATCCTTACAAAGTGATTGTACTCATTTTGTGGGTAGGGAAACTAAGGCTAAGTGAGGCCTGACCTGCCCAGGGTCCAAGTGTTTGTGGTAATCATTAATACCAAACAGTTTGGTTTGACTATGTCTATGCTCATGGCATGAGTGCATTTCTACCTTAAAATTGGGAATGGCATATTACTTGTTTTGGCCAGTGAAATGTGAATAATTATATGTATCATTTTCAAGCACACATATTTCACTTCAGTTACAGTCACTGTAGTATAATCTTGCCTGTATGGTAATCAGTGATCATGATGGTGAAAGCATGTGTCAAAATGAAACTTATGTGAGCCTGGTTCTCTGAGTTAACACTGCCAACCCACACAGAACTGGTAGTGTCTGTTGATTAAGCTACTGATATACAGATGTGTTTTCTCCTACTGGATAGCCTAGACTCTAGGCCAGCCGTGGGCAAACTACGGCCCGCGGGCCAGATCCGGCCTGTTTGAAATGAATAAAACTAAGAAGAAAAAAAAAGACCGTACCCAAGTTTGCAAACTTTTTGACTTGAGGGCCACAATGGGTTCTTAAACTGGACCGGAGGGCCGGAACAAAAGCATGGATGGAGTGTTTGTGTGAACTAATATAAATTCAAAGTAAACATCATTACATAAAAGGGTACGGTCTTTTTTTTTTTTTTTAGTTGTATTCATTTCAAACGGGCCGGATGCGGGCCGTAGTTTGCCCACGGCTGCCCTAGACTGTTCTAGTTAGGGGAAGGTGAAATTCAGGTTCATCCCACCACCTCTACCACCACCATTTCTTCTCAGAAATCTATTAAGCTGTGTGGCCTTAGGCAAATGACCTAATCTCTCTAAACCCTATTTTCTGGCAAATGGGGCTGATGATAGTACCTACATCATAAGATTATAAAGGTAATAAATGAGTACATTTATGTACACTGGTGCACAGTGAACACTCAAGTGTTGACAATAATGAAAATAAATATTATTGTAGTTGCTGCTGCTACAATTCTGACTCCAACTCTGTGTTCTCCATAACTATGTCATGCTTCTTACCATAAGTGATTGAGGAAGAAAATTTTTAAGTACAGTATTACCAAACAACTCTCAAAACCTGCTGTTATGAGAAATCCTTTTACCCTGGAGAAAATGTCATCAAATCCTATGTGATGGCAGCTGTACTTTTGTTGAGAAAATACATGACAACTAAAACCTCTCAATAATGCAGTAACTTCTTCATCACATTTTTTTATTCATTCATCCATTGATATACTCTTAGGATGTTACCTCATCCTGGCTACTATAAACAACTAGAGGCCTGGTGCACAAATTTGTGCACCAGTGGGGTCCCTGGGCCTGGCCTGCGGGATTGGGCTGAAACCAGCTCTCCAACACCCCCCGAGGGGTCCTGGATTACGAGAGGGTGCAGGCCAGGCTGCGGGACCCCACTGGTGCATGATCGGGGCCGGGGAGGGACACGGGAGGTTGGCCAGTCAGGGAGGGACCGTAGGAGGGCTCCAGGGTATGTCCGGCCCCTCTCAGTCCTGATCAGCTGGACCCCAGCAGCAAGCTAACCTGCCAGTCATAGCATCTGTCCCCTGGTGGTCAGTGCACATCATAGCAACTGGTCAACCAGTCAACTGTCTGCCCCCTGGTGGTCAGTGCATGTCATAGCAAGTGGTTGAGCACCCTTAGCATATCATTAGCATATTACACTTTGATTGGTTGAATGACCAACCGGTCAACTGGACACTTAGCATATTAGGCTTTTATTATATAGGATGCTGTGATGAACATGTTGGTGTATATATCTTTTTAGATAGTGTTCTTGTTTTTTTTTTAAAATATATATTTTATTGATTTTTTTACAGAGAGGAAGGGAGAGAGACAGAGTTAGAAACATTGTGAGATAGAAACATCGATCAGCTGCCTCCTGCACATCTCCCACTGGGGATGTGCTCGCAACCCAGGTACATGCCCCTGACCGGAATCGAACCCGGGACCCTTCAGTCCGCAGGCCGACGCTCTATCCACTGAGCCAAACCGGTTTCGGCAATGTGTTCTTGTTTTTTCTTCAGGTAAATATCCAGAATTGGAATTGCTGGATCATATGGTAGTTGCTATTTGTATTTTTTTTTTTGAGGAAACTCCATATTGTTTTCCATAATGGTTGCATCTGCATTTTAAAAACTTAATTTAGCCCTTTAATTTAGCTGCCATTTTATTTTAAAGTTGGTATGAGTTGAGAACTTCATCATCTTTCCCCCCTCAAGAACAGCAAGTTGTCCCAACAAAGGGATAACTAGGTGTCCTAACAAAGTTAATGAACAATCAGTCCTTTCCTCAATTCTTTGAAATGCCACATCCATCATATACATCTTCACATATATATATTGATCCCTATCTGGACTCTCTGATCTAGTCTATTGATCCATTGATCATTTCTCTGCCACTGTCAACTATAAATATCTTATTAAAAATACTATTAGTGCACCGGTGGGGTCCCTCAGCCTGGCCTGCACCCTCTCGCAATCTGGGACCCCTCAGGGGATGTTGGACTGGTGGTTTCAGCTCGCTCCCCACAGGCCAGGCCAAGGGACCCCACCAGTGCATGAATCTGTTCACCAGGCATCTAGTTTGCATATAAGATCTTTAGGTAATCTCTTCCCATCCTCCCTCCCTCCCCCCTTCCCTCTGAGATTCATCAGTCTGTTCTATGTTTGAGCATATGCCCCCTGGTGGTCAGTGCACGTCATAGCTACCAGTCAAATGGTCAAATGGTCGCTTAGGCTTTTATATATATAGATTCTGATATCTGCAGAGCAACTAACCATCTTGATGTACTTCTTTTTCTATAACATCTTGGTTATTCTTATCCATAGTAAATTTATAGATTAATTTGAGACAAATTATGTTTATTTTTTATTTCTTATTATTTTTTAAAAATCTTTATTGTTGAGAGTATTACAGATGTCCCCTTTTCATCCCCC